AAATATATTAAATGAGTTTATAAATTTATACTTTTATGTTATGGTGGATTTTGATTCATGGATTGGTTCAAAGGATTTATGGATTAATTTTTGGATTCAAGTGAAATCTTAACATTGGACCAATACGTAAATTTAAAAAATTGTAGGTACTAACCAAACTTCTTCTTGAAAACATAATTGTTTTACACTAAAATTAAATTTGGGGTATCAAAATGTACATTATAGTGACTGATTTGTAATTTATTAGGCTTTGTGATATCAAAATGTAAAATGTACATTGTAGTGACTAAACAGTAACCTCACTTTTTCTTTAAAAAATTGTAAGTACTAACCAATCTTCTTCTTCAAAACATAATTGTTCAATAATTCTACGCTAAAATTAAATTTGAGGTATCAAAATATAAAATGTACATTATAGTGACTAATTTGTAATTAATTAGGCAATAGTAACCACACTTCTTTATATATTAATATACAGAGTCATTATTATTACAAGCGTAAAATGTAGATATAGGTTTTATCTCCGAAAATATTCGCAGTAGGATATGGGAATGATTGTTGTTATTATGTACAGCAAAAGAAATTGTTGTTATTATGTTATTATTAGATAATACTATTACCTTGGTACTAGTTGGAATATAATTGACAAGACGATGCTACCAATGATAGAAAGGAAAGAAGAGTAAGATTATAATTTTGTTGTGTTTGAGTTGGAGGGAATAGAAGCCGGAACTGCTATGCCGGAATGGCAAACAGGGGTCGGTTAGCATGCTAACCCCCATTAGGGTTGGAAAAATGACACCCCCTAGTATATTAAATACAACTATAGAATTTAATACATATATTAAATACATATTAGGAATTAAATGTACCATATTAATTAGGAATTCTCTCACTATTAAATACACATTAGGAATTAAATACACACATTAAATACACATTAGGAATTCTCTCACTATATTTGATTTTTCCTTTTTCAGCAGTCTCCGACCACCAGACTTCCTCCGACCGCCACACTTCTCCAGTGAAAATCCCATCGGCAGACTCCCTCCGACCACCTCCAAAAAATATACCATTGCACTGATACGGTGTACCACTGTACTGGTAGATATACCACTGCACTGATACGTTGTACCACTGTACTGGTAGATATACCACTGCACTGGTAGCAATATCAGTGCACTGGTAGCAATGTCATATCTGAGTATCAATGCAGTGGTACAAATACCAGTAAAGTGGTAATTGATGTGGTGTATTTAATGCTTACTTTGTATTTAATAACAAAACATTTATTATGTTTACTTTCATTAATACTTGTCAATAATTAATGAAAAATTGACCAATTAAAAGGGGGTGTCAAAAAACCAACCCCTTAAGGGGTTAGCATGCTAACCCGTCTAATCAGTGTATTATCTTAAATCTTAATACGATGATATCGTTTTGATATGAATTATATGTTCAAATATGAAACTGAGTGCATAATATATATCTAAAACATTGAGTAAGTAACTAAAACAAGAACATACATTCATTTATCAAATATTTCTCTAGGAACATCGCTATATAATAAAGTATTATATCGGTCTCATCATTAATACTTAATTAGTTAGTTATATAGTTAATTAAGCCTCCCGATAGTTGGAGCAATGAATCACAACATTGAACAAAAAAAGAGAGCTTCACTTTGATAACATAGAAGGCTAAATGGTTCAGTTTTTTTTTTAATGAATGAGTGTATTTATTGTTTAATATCATCAAATTTCTTTGGAGTTGTCAAGAGCCCTAAGGAATTGGTATGTGAGTTTCTTTTTATTATTTCTCTAAATTTATGTACTATAGCACATCGGATATATAAGATAAATGATCCTTGTATATAAGCGTATGCTTATGAATATCCCATTAGTACGAAGTTGTTTGGGATTCAAGAGCAAATCTGTGCGGATTTGACCCAAAGCGAACAATATCATACTAACGGGGACTGTCCATTCTCAATTAGTTGTACCAAAGCCTGATTTGGAGTCTGAATTTCAAGCAATGGACTTCAGTTCGATGGACCCTCAATCGATTATCTCAGGATTTTGAGATACATAATAAATCAAAATTTTGAAATACATTCGGTTCGACCAAGTTCTCCTTATTGTTTGGTCACCTCGCTCGAGGGACTAATGTGCTTAACTATTTTAATTTCTTTATTCATGACGTATGCAATGACAGCACCATTTATTCTAGCTTATTAGTTTTGTGCTTACAAGTTACAACTCATAATTATTAATTAATTACTAAATAATCTATGTTGTTTTGCCCGCAAGATCCACGAGAAGAAACCAACACGAATAGGAATCTAAAAGAAACCAAAGGCCGTATTTGTCGCATTAAGTTTTACTTTACAGACTTCACGTCCAAGTGATAATTAGATTAACTCATGATCTTTAATCAAATAATTTATTTTTCTCATAGCCTTGGTTTCTCAGTTCATTTGCACTATGGGATTCTGTCTGTGCAAAGTTATACAAGAAGACATATAGAGCTGGAAAGTACTGGACACATTAATTTAAATTTATATATACCCTTAATTAATTAGTTATGGAATTAATTGTATCGGTTTATCAGTATTTTTATTTCACAATTATCTATGCCTTCAAACTAATTGAGATACACAAGTGTTTAATCCCAATTTTGAATTTGTCGATTTAACTTGCAGCAGTGAGGAGGACAAAAACTCAAGTGGCCACTAAAACTAGCAGATGGTTCACTACAACAAAAAAGGGTTTTTGCAACCAAATATACTGGTTACTAAAAGTTAAAAATTGGTTATTAATACTGTTTCGTAACCAAAATAATGATTGGTAGCGAATAGGACAGCTATCGCAACCAATTTTGGTCGCTATAGCCGCGTTACTAAATCCTACCGCGACCAAAATAATGATTGGTAGCGAATAAGACAGCTATCGCAACCAATTTTTGCCAAGGTAAGAAACCCGGATTTTTTGTGACGATTTTAAATTGGTTGTTATAGTTAACTTTATTGGTTGATAAATGTAGATGATTGGTCGCCATAAATATAAATGACAACCAATTTATGTGATTATTATTATTATTATCAACCAATAATATCATAAGGACTACCAATTTTTTTGGTCGTGAAAGTTTATTACAACCATGAATTTTGGTTGTGAAAATACCTACGTCGACCTATTATATCATTTTAGACAACTAATTCTTTTGGTTATAAAAGTTCATCGCGACCATGAATTTTGGTCGCAAAAAACACTTAAGCCAACCAAATAAATAATTTAATATGGCCAATTTTATTGTTGAGATTTTGGTCACTAAAACGGAAATTGAAAAATCAAATTAAATATAATAAAAATTTGCTTCATATCATATCTCATATATAAAAAAAATATTTAGTAACAAAAATCACAATTAAATAATTTTATCCCTAAAAATAAACCCAGTATTTCAAAAACCACAATTACAGAGATAAAGCTTTCAAGCCCCTCCAATCCGACCACCAAGCTCGCTGTCAGGCGCTCAAGAGCAGGATGGATCACTGCACTGCCTTCCTACCAAATATGAATGTTAAAGAGCATTCGTTATTCTTTAAATTCTGCAAATACAATTAGGCAATCCAAATTGCTTTCTCATATAAAATCTAGTGACCATTATGGGATAACTCGCAGCTTGTGGACAATCATCAGAACTTAAAGAGAAGGGAAATGTTTACTTAGCCATGATATTTGGTGAATTGGTATGCTAAATCAACAACAAACTTTTGCTTCAGACTTCAAGCTCTGATAATCCAAACAATAAATACCAAATAGAAGCAATTTCAAAATGGATAGCTGCCATTATTAATGCATCAGAAGTCAGCAATTGCAGTCAAAAGACTACCGATTCTAGACTCAACAACAATCAAAGCTTGAAGTATGAGTGTCAAACCAGATACAAACCTTATGTTCCCCTCTGGCCGTCTACACCTTGCAGCTAAACCAACTAACGCAGAGTGTGAAAAGTAGTAGAGAAGGGATAGAACGCCGCAAAACCATTTATAAATCATTTTGCTACCAAATTATTTGGTCTTCTCAAGATTTATTTGGTTATCGAAACTTTGATTTCAATAGGCAACCAATTTTTTAATTTTTTTTGCAACCGAAATGTAATTGGTTGTCAATATTAGCCTTTGCGCAACCAATTTTACATTGGTTGTAAAGATTTTGGTTGCAAAAACCACTTTTTCTTGTAGTGGTTTTTCGATTTAACTCAGAGATAATGAAAAAATACAGTTTTTCTTCAAGGAGAAATAGAACATTATTACTTTTCATTTGTCAGCTTTCTTAAATATCCATGTACATGGCACCCTTTAGATTTAGAAAAAGTACAAAATATTAGCAGTATTAGTTAGTTAATGATGATATTTAAATCCTAAATTTTAATGTCAATCGTCATATTTTCTACCGTTAAATATCAAAACAAACTAATAAATTAATTTCATCTACTAATTTATACATGAAAATTAGTTACTATCAATGTATTTGCTTGTGAAAGTAGATTTGATTTGCTACTATCATTTGTCAATGCACAAATCGATAACATTTTATGCTATGAAACGATTGATCAGCCTTCGCATCTAGTGAACTAAAATTATGAATGATTATTCGATGAGATATATTAAGTGTGAAATCTTGATAGTTTGGTCGATTCAAATAGTTATAGAATAATTTCACAATATAAAATATTAGACCCCATGTGTAATTTTTTTTATGGCACTCCATTGAATAAAATCATGGCTACGCCACTGAACATGTACTTATTTCATTTCGTTACATTAAGTCTTTAATTAGGAGCTAATTAGTAGTAATCCCTTACACGTGTGTATATATTTAATAATAATTCTACCTCCGTTTCATCCTAGGAGAGTGCACTTTCTTGTTCCATGGCAAAACAACAAGAGGTATGCATAGACCTATAGATATATACTTAAGTACTGACCAAGCAACGTACAAACTAGAAAGAGTTAGTTAATTAATTAACCAAGCTAATTAGTCATAATTACGAATAACAACAAGAATTAGTACATAATATCAAAAAATATAGTAACCATTGAGATTACGTTGAAGCCAAAGAAGAGAAGTGTGCTGACACCTGAGGATTGTAGCTGTGATGGGAGAGATGATCATTACATTATCAACAATGTAAGTTAGACTAAAGCAAGTAAATTCCAAACACTTTTGCCCACAACATTTTTGGTCCCTCCACCTTCCCCATCTCCCTCCTCCCTATTTAACCCTTTTTTCCCTATTCATCATATCTCACCCCCAATACCATCTCTCACAAGACTACCCTAGATCTCTTCACTCATGCCATGCCATGGCAACTGAGCTTGGATTCCTAGCCCTCACCCAACTCCAAAAGGTGGCTCACTCGTCCCAGAAGGTCGAAATTCTAGACCACCACGAGAATCAAAAGAAAAATCGAGACCAGTCCCACCATCACCATCACCAGCGGTATCAGCATCAACAACAACTGATGCTGATGAGCGATGGTGGGACGAACTCATCTACGGGAGCAGGAGCAGGATCAGCAACAACAGGAGTACCGCTGCGAACCACGTGGATGTGGAACCCTAGGCCAGGCAAAGAGGATCATCAGGAAGAGGAGGAGGAGGAGGACGAGGACGACGAGGAGTCTTGGGAGGTGAAGGCATTCGAGGAGGATGCCGGGAACGTCAATGGTAGCACATGGCCGCCACGGTCCTACACTTGCACCTTCTGCCGCCGGGAGTTCCGGTCGGCTCAGGCTCTCGGCGGCCACATGAATGTCCACCGCCGTGATCGGGCCAAACTCCACCACCACCACCAAGCCCTACCTCTTCACCTTCCACCACCGCCACCACCTCATAACCCTACAAACGCCTCCTCCTCCTCCACATACATCATCCCATCTCCGGAATTCTCCGCCGCCGCCGGCGGTTTGTGCTTGCTCTACCAATTCCCAAACCCTAATAACCACCGCCAACACACCACCACCTCCACCGTGGCCAATGCATGCACAACCACCGATGCTCCATCCACTCTCCTCTCCATGGCGCCGTACGCTCAGCAGCAACGACACAGCCGCCGCGGGCCGATGGTGGCGGCAGGACAGTCTCGCAATCCTTACCCGCCGCCGGTCAGGCGAAATTCATCATCTTCTTCTCCTCCACAATATTATAATTTCGGGGCCGGCGGGGGAGGCCAGCTGGCGACGGCGGAGGGAAATGATAAGGAGATGGGAAGCAGTAGTAATGAGGAGGGCGAGGAGGTGGATCTGGAGCTGAGGCTTGGCCAGAGATCCACGTCATCATCATCATCATCGTAAAAAAAAAAAACAAAAGATAAGAAATCTGATTTTATTAATTACCTTTTCTTATATTATTATTGGTTTCTGAAACATTTATGTTATTGTTTTTATCGTTTGGAGAGGACATTAAAGTGAGAGTGAAAATGTGAGAAGGTGAATTTTTTTTTTTTGTGTGTAAAAAGACAGTTATTTATAATAAATTTCATCATTTTTTAGGATGTTCATGCTTGGTTATGTGGATACATTTGATAAATTTTGGCGAGCAAGTAAATCTAAGCAAGTAATACTTTATATTGATATCATCTGGCGAAGTTCTCCGATTCTTTTTCATCTTACATACAATTTTGTACATGACTACATAAAAAGATGAATTCATTTTCTCAACCACTTTGTTTGCTCTCTCTCCTTTGTACAACTTTGAGTTTCATGTCATATACACAACATTTTCCGGCCACACCATACTTGACTCTCTCAATTTCTTGTCATTCTATGTTTACGAAGTTAGTCCTTTTCTTGTATACACAATCATATACTCATTGTCGAAAAACGCACATATCGAGCTGGCAAAGCTGTGGGAAGAAGGAGCCAACATGTAAAACAGGAATTCAGAAAAGAGAGAGAGAGGAAATTAAAGGAACTGCATGTTGGCTATTGGCTGTTCATTTTTTTTTTTTCTGAGTTGAAGATCATAAATGAGAGAACCCATAATGGGAGGGTTTTGAAAATTGCAGAGAAAGGGATAAGTTTGCATTGGACAGTCGTTTTCTTACTGCCAATTTCGCCAACGTTGGGTCTCTCTCCCTCTGAATGCAAATCTCTGTCTGGTCGATATTGCATACATACCATGGTGTATTGATTTCCGTGGGTGATAGTTTCTATCGGTCCCCCATTCATATTCATATTCATATATAGACGACGACGATAGACAGAAATATGAAATCGGTCACAGAAGAAAATAGCCTACTACTACTCTATCTCTGATCTGGCTGGCTCTATGTTTCTCTGAAATCGAGGTGTAGTGTACTTAATTTTGGAGATGTTTGGTGTATCTTTGTACTTAAAAATTTCGAGTTTTCGGAGTGGTTCGAGACTTTAAAGGGATATGTACATGAGAGTCGCGCAGTTTGAGTTATTGAACTTCGATGAATTGACCGTCACATCAGCAAAAGTTAAAGGAGATTAATGGGCAGTGACCAAACTTGAACTGTTAACCTAATCTATAAGTGACTACTGATGGAATAAAGTAATTCTAGTGGCTAAGGTGAATTTTACTAGTAATTCAAGTGACCAAACTTGCAATTTAGCTCTTTGGAAATAATGATGAAAGTATTAGTAACACTATGTTTGGCAACAAGGGGGGTGCAAGTTCGAGGGGGGTACAAGTTGAGGGGTAAATTGTTGGGGGGTGCAACTTGGTGGAGGGTGTAAGTGGAGGGGTAAATTGTTGTTTGGATGAAAAAGTAGGGGGGTGCAAATAGAGTAAAAAGTAAGTAATTATATTATTATAAAATAGATTTATCAATTTATAAAATATTATCACAAAATAATAACATGAAAATTCAATATATAATAATAAAAATAATAAATAAAAATAATTTTAATAAAAATAATTATTATATAATAATGCTCAAATATAATTATTTATAACAACAATAATAATCATTGGTCGAGCAACCTCGAAACTCGAAATCCAACTCGTAACTGGTCATCCTAAGGGGGTTCTCGTGCCTAACTTTAAATTGAATATGGTCAAACTTAGTCAAACACGTTCGAATCTGTAAGTTTTAACTACTTATTAAAGTAAATCGAGTTAACTAAACTGTTCCTCTCTATCTTTTCAACAAATGCTTCTTATCTCTAATTTTCAATGCAAATTCGGGTCAACTAAGAGATATCGATTTGACGAGGCGAACATTGACAAACTTGCTCTCTTAGTCAAACGGTCAACCCCAAACAACTTCTACACTAATATAGATATAAGAAAAAATTAATAATATTAATTATTATGTAATTATAATCTAATTAAAAATTCATAATTCCCCTCCTCCTCCTTCCCCCTCCCTTCCTTCCTTTCCTTGCACCCCAATTTGGGGGGTAAGCCGAAACAGTGAATTTACGCTCACGTTTTGCACCCCCCTACTGTTACAAAATAACCAAACGGGGGTAAACACCTTGGAACTTGTGTTTACCCCTCCAAACTTGCACCCCCTTTCATTTGCACCCCTTCCCAAACATAGTGTAAAGAAAATTTCGGTTCAATTCCTCAATTTCTGCACAAGAAATGAGTTTATGGGGAAATGAAGCCGAATGAGCATGCATGCTAGGTCGCTGCAAGAGGGGAAGTATTAATCATACCGAACATGCCAGAGATTAAAAAAAAACATACTTTCCAATTTTCAAAACAACGTTAAAGTTAGTGGAAAAAAGGAAAATCAAGCAGAGTTCTCCTCTCCAACACAACTCTAAAGTGGCACTCATCTCTCTCCAGTGAATAGAGACCAAACCCTGATCTCTTTGACAGTGGGGGATAAAGATAACGATTACCTTTTGGAATTGGGTTTAGTTAGACTTAATTTTTAGGGTTAATACCTTAGTTTGGCTCGAATTATATACATACTTTTTACTTTGGTTCGTGGTATTGGAAATTGCTATTCTGACCTGAACTATGTAGTAAACTTCCTCATTTGGCCTGGAGGCGGGTTTGACCGTCAAATTAGACGGTCAAACCTGCCACGTCAGCTAGCAGAGAAATAAAAAATTTATTTTTTTTAAATTCTTTATTTTTCCCCTTTCATATAATAACAATAATAATGAAAAACAATGGTAAATGAAAAAAAAATTAAAAGCCCCCAAATAAATTTCCTCCACTCGCATTCATCTTCACCCCGCAAAATTGAAAAGAGTAACCACCGTCCACCATGTCCCCAACCCTACAGAACCACCGAAGCTCGCCCTCCGCCGCTCACAAATCCATCCCCAAAAACGATGTCGCCACGACCACTAGCTCGACAACCTTCGATTGTATCTCTGAGTCAATCAATGGCGGATCCCTCCGCCCACGTGAACCTTGAGATCGGACCAACGGCTGGGCTTCACCCCAAGTAACCTCTTCTCCTTCCGCTCCACCAACTACTTCACCAAGAAATTGAAATCCCGCGGCGGCGACTACCTTCTCCACCCCCGGCGGCGACTACCTCCTTCGTCCTCGCCGTGAACCTCCCCAGGAAGAAGCCGCAGAATGCCGCCTTCTACTTCACCTCCCCAGATCAGCTCCTCCAAGGGAGCCTGCTACAAATTTTGTCAACGACGACGAGGAGTACCAGAACCAGCGGTTCAAGATCGTGAATCGGATAGTGAAGATGGTGGGGAATCACAGCGCGTTCCTGCTGAGGAAGGCACTCACCTACAATTACCACAGGGGGCGAACTATCTGGAGATCGACGACGACAACGGGAGCTCCGCCATCGCCACCGCGATCCTGCACCTCGCGCTGGGGTGCGTGACGAGTGTGACCATTTGGGGTTTTTGGTGGAGGCGCATGAGAGGGGTGGTGATATATTGGGGGCTTTTATTTAATTGTTTTTTTTTTGTTTATTAATGTTATTATAGGAAAGGAAAAAGAAAACAGAAATTCAAAAAATAAAATTTTTATTTCCTGCTCGCTGATGGGGCAGGTGAGGTGTACATTGACTAATGGTCAACAGGTTTACCGTCTAATTTGACAGTCAAACCCGCCTCCAGGCCAAATGAGAAAGTTTGCTACATAGTTCAGGCCAGAATAGCAATTTCCAATACTACGGGCCAAAGTAGAAAGTATGTATATAGTTCGGGCCAAACTAAGATATTAACCCTAATTTTTAATTAATTTGTGAAGTCATGTATTTTACTTTATGTGCAATGATTTATCATGTTGAGTTCGTGAGTATTTGACATTTTGACTCTTTGCTATCTTGTGTAGTTTCAGTATTTTATTGGTATGGTTGCATACTTTTATCAGTATAATATATTAATAAAAATATAACCAGTATAAAATGGTTGAACTATAATCACATCACAAAATATCATGTCATCAAATTTGTCACTTCTATTTTGTAATCTTTCTGAGTTTTGGTACTCACATGTTCACCAAAGCAATGAGCTTGTTAGGAAGGCCATAAATGCTTTGAAATTGATTCCCTATCCATTACTGAGCACGTGGCCACCAATTGAGGGTATGCAATGGTTAGAACCGGATCGAATTCATGAAAACTGCGATATAGAATGAAAAACATTTTAGGATCAAGTACTTAACCAGTATTGCCTTTCGTCCTGTCCAAATATCATCAGTACGGTTCATTTTTGTTCGATATTTATAAAATTCATAAGAATAATAATTAGACCACATTATATTCTGTTTGGTATGATCCAATTCAATCCATTACAGTTTGATACAGACCAATCCGTCGCATAACCCTAGTCTCCATTCACCAAAGATGGGATGGGATTAGGTGCTAACCCTTATAGGGGTTAGCACCGTGATAACTAGTAAAAAACGCTACTAAAAATAACGAAATCACTACGGATTATTATAAAATCAATACAACATCTAAGCTAAATCACTACTAATTCAAACTAGTAGTAGTTTTTCTCTTGATTAGGACGGTGCTAACTATTGTACAATTAGCACCGTAGCCGTTCCCACCAAAGATGGTTCCGTCCGCCAAACAGGGGCTTGTCCAAAATGCTACAGTGCGCCCTCCTCGCGGGAGTCCCATGCTAACCGATCGACTATTATGTTAAAGCTGACTTGGGCTGGGGGAGCAATACTGGGCCGCCGAATCCAGTAACCAGACCGAGCCAAGTCCACCACTACGAGGCCAAAATAAAGCCCAGCTTGGGAGTGCTAATTTCTTGTTTTTTTGTTTAAGATAGAGGACGTGTTAATTTCAACACGGTTAGCTTGTAATATAACACTGAGATAGTGAACAACACGGTTAGCTGTAACATGGTGGTTTGATAGCCTCGTCTTTTAGTCACGATGTTAAAGATCTATTCATGTGCATAGAAATCGAGCTTAGTTTATGACCAACAATTTACTCTTTTGTGCCATAATTTGTGGCGAAAGTACTCACTTCTTTTTTTTTTAGATAAGGGTGATATAGGTTACTTTTTTTGTTATTAGGTACTACTAAAGGGACTCGAACCAGGGACCTCCAGGTTCATGACTACTGGTAT